AAGACCAGGGGCCAGATTCACGAAGCAGTTACGCAAGCACTTACGAACCTGTACATCTTTTCTCAATCTTTCGCGGCTTTGTTTGCAATTATTAAACAGTTAATGAGCTCGGAAGCACCAGGAGGCTGTTTATAACAATAACAACAGTTGATTAGGAAGTTTCCATGCTTGTAAACTGTTTAATAAATGTAATCAAAGCCGTCAAAGATTGAGGAAAGATGTACACGTTCGTAAGTACTTGCGTAACTGCTTCGTGAATCTGTCCGCAGGTGTACAGTGCCCACCGCTTCGTAAGACCAAGTGTACAGTACAGTAGTCTTAAGATGTGTCAATACTATGGTATTATTCTTTTCGGTAGAGCGTAACAATTCTGACGTTGTGGTCGATAATGTCAAAATTGCCTCATAAAGTAGCGTGAGGACAGGTTGTGAGCTTTGTCCCTTGCCATAGCCTCTGTGTTGCTCTCACTCAGTTTCCCTCTCTTGGCACGCACACTCACCATGTGGATGTGTGCGAGTGATTTCCTCGCACACTCACCATGTCCGTCCACAGTCCTCCCGGTCTTCCTCTCCTTAAAATCACGCAAATACAATCTCTTTCAATTTCAATTTCAATCTCTTCCCTCGTCTACCACCACTCCTTGGCTCAGAGTGCAGAGCAACGCAACCCTTTCAAGTAATACACTTGCAAGAGTTGACTTTTGCACTCCTAATCTCTCAATGATTAGTTACCTTCATATCAGAAGGGGAAACTCTCTAAGGTTCGGGACGCGCTCTCCTTCGTGTAGGTAAGGTATCTTACCTACCTTACCTACGTAAGGTATTTCTCCCTATCAGGAGAAGTGCTAAACCATCTTGTCTAAGCTGCAGCACTTGGAATGGACACGAGGCCCAGGAGCTGAGACACGAGGAAGGAGTGAAGGAACTGTGGCCAACAACTTGGGTCATCTGGGATCGAACGCCGACCCTGCAAGAAACGAAGCTGGTGCTGTGCGGATCAGTTCAAATGGATGACGTTTCGTGCAGATCTTTGGTTGTATCTTTGGAGAAGGCGTCCTCGTGGAGGCCTGGTCGAGGACCGGGCCGCAGGGACGTTGAGCCATGGAATCATCACAGGGTAAGGTATTTATTCTCAGCTTGAAAGCTTCCAATCAGCTTACATTGGACCAATCAATTTCTTTCCCTAACTCAATATACTATCAGATTCGATTGCACGTCCCTTCTCATTAAACATTCAGACTATTCTATCCATCTACTTCTAACTCCGTGTTTAATCATTTACTTTCTCCTAGTGTCTCTCTCTAACATTCCCATTAATCCCTATAAAAATTCCCATTAATCCCTATAAAAGTCTTCCTGATACACTTCTATTAAAGTTTTCCAAAACGAACTTTTCGAGTAAAATTATTTTTAATTATTGTCACTTTCCTTTTCGCTGACTGTTGTTGTTGTTCTTTTCACATAATTCTCATGTGAACATGATGACCAGACCACACACTAGAATGTGAAGGGACGATGACGTTTCGGTCCGTCCTGGACCATACTCAAGTGAACATATTCCTGTTTTCTTGCCGCTCCTTCACTCCGAGTTAATACTTGACATTTTTTCTCATCATCAACTGTTCTTGTTATATCCTCGCCCCACAAAACCATTCTCGTTGTTCTACCAGTTGTTCAACGCGTTAAAGAACCTGTGTTCATCTTTGTTCTGTTGAGAATTGTCTCCTCCCATTGCATCTTGACGGCTTGACTACAGTCTTATTTAACCGGATATTAGTACGTTTTATGTTATTTAATGTTCTTATCTATCACTTACTTATTATTCTATGGGTAAGTAAATTGGGGCTCTGAAAATCCGGTACCATAGTAGTAGTAGGCATCCATCAGTCTCAGGAGACTATGGAGTTGTCGGTCTGGAGTGGCCTCACCAGGGCGCAAAGCCAGGGTAGGTTGATGTCGGGGGAGAAGCTGTTACCCAGGCAGCAGGTCCCCCCCTCTCCACGGCGCTGAAAGTCTCCAATGGAAAGGCATACGCCAATACGATTGGTTCCCATATACCAATCCAGTCCAAATACCCATATATGACTTCGTTAAAGGTGTAGACTAAAATACAGCTTGCTGTAACTGTGAAGGAGAGTGCGCTACAGCACATACAAGGGATACGAGGATGAGGCGCTGGGATAAGACAGAGGGAAGATACAGACTTGGAAATAATTAAAATCAGTAACACAACAGCTACAGAAAACGTCGACAATGTACGAAATATTGGCAGATGCATTTTAATTCTGACAGTTATAGCGCCTAAGGCATTATAACAGGGATGCTAAATCTCATATGAACAACAATAACACTGCTTAATTTCAATTGGAAATATTAGGAAACTATAATATTAATTGTCGGGGGGGACAGGCAGCCTGTGCATATATACATGTTAGGCTTATACCCAGGTCTCCCCCCCCCCCCCCCCAATGTCGAATTTCTGACCCTCCCCAGGATGTAACTCCACAACATGCCGACTAACTTCTGGCTACCTGCTACTGCTAGGTGAACAGGTGCATTAAACGATAGGAAATGAGCCCAACCATTTCTGTCCTCCCCGGGATTAAAACCCGGATTTCTCGATTAATAGTCGAGAAGGAATCCAGAAACTAATGTACAGATATTGTAAATGTACAGATATTGTAAATAAGGCCGTAATTCTAGGAATCTTATCGAGAAGCCTTAACAACTCTAATATTAATCTTGTAGCTCATGTACTACAGTTCGGGGGACACAGTGCTATGAAATAATGTATGTAAATCCCCTTGAGAGTATACACAGAACAATAAGTTAATCCCGAGTATTTACAAACCTTCATTATGAAGAAAATATGAAATTTCAAATTACATTCCCTAATAAGACTTTTACAAAGTAATGTGATTAAAGTGTTCAAAAAAGCCTAAAAGCAAAATTTAAATTGGATTCTGAAAATATTAAGCCACGTTAGAAACATGTGACACTAAATTTAACTCCGGTACGTTTATCTTAAGAAAATAAATTGGAAAATACTGGTTCAGAAATTGGGTTACAGATCTGCTGAACAAGTTTCCGAGTAACGCCATGGAAGCACACCCAGTGCCTGAGAACAATCGGTTCGAAAATCTGATTTGTTAACCATTTACTTAAAAGAGCGAGAAGCGGAACCCAATAGTTTAAGTTAACCTCACTCTCCCACCCCACGACCTGCTCACTGAGCACACACACACACACACACACACACACACACACACACACACACACACACATACGAGGGGCCTCGTAGCCTGGTGGATAGCGCCCAGGACTCGTAATTCTGTGGCGCGGGTTCGATTTCCGCACGAGGCAGAAACAAATGGGCATAGTTTCTTTCACCCTTAATGCCCGTTACCTAGCAGTAAATAGGTACCTGGGAGTTAGTCAGCTGTCACGGGCAGGTTCCTGGTGTGTGTGTGTGTGTGTGTGTGTGTGTGTGTGTGTGTGTGTGTGTGTGTGTGTGTGTGTGTGTGGGGAAAAAAAGTAGTTAGTAAACAGTTGATTGGCAGTCGAGAGGCGGGCCGAAAGAGCAAAGCTCAACCCCCGCAAACACAACTAGGTGAATATAACTAGGTGAATACACACATTAGAAAGAACTTTTTCAGTGTCAAAGTAGTTAGTAAATGGAACGCACTAGGAAGTGATGTGGTGGAGGCTGACTCCATACACAGTTTCAAATGTAGATATGACAGAGCCCAGTAGGCTCAGGAATCTGAACATCAGTTGATTGACGGTTGCGTGGCGGGACCAAAGAGCCAGAGCTCAACCTCCGCAAGCACAATTAGGTGAATACACACACACACGTACACCAAGACATACTAACAAACATAAAATTAAAAAAAAAAAAACTCAGAATTCACACAAAACTCACCAATGAATCAAGTAATATCAACTCAACAGTCCGGTCGCTGAATTACGTTCAGGCAAAACAAATTCTCACAGTCACTTTCTCACGTGACTGTCACGGCCCAGTCAGCTGGCAAATCTAAAAATTAGGTGGAAATTGTGTTTGATGATAAACCCAGTGAGGAGATGTGAGAGAGAGAGAGAGAGAGAGAGAGAGAGAGAGAGAGAGAGAGAGAGAGAGAGAGAGAGAGAGAGAGAGAGAGAGAGAGAGAGAGAGAGAGAGAGAGACGCAACTCTGCAGCAGGTGTCGGGAGGCTGGTGATGGGGCGGGCACGTTGTTGATGAAAGGGTCGTGTACGCTAGTGGCCTCTGGCGGGGTGGGAACGTCTTCATGCACAGCTCGGGCGGTGAGGACACTGATGGCGCTGTCTCATCTCGTGTGTTGGTGTCGTTTAGAATAAACTCGGGAATCAGGACTTTGTTTAAGAAGGGAATATCGCTGTTGAGCATCTTAAGCAGGCGATGAGTCACAATAACGTGGCTAAAGTATGTTGACCAGACCACACACTGGAAGGTGAAGGGACGACGACGTTTCGGTCCGTCTTGGACCATTCTCAAGTCGATTGTGCGAGTTGAGCATCTTAGTTTGTAGGAAAAAATCGCTAACAAGATAAAAAAAATCCCCTGACCTATTCGATGACGAAGATAAATATGAAGATGTACCTGAAATCACAGTCACTCCAGTACACACCATGTATAAAACATACTGTCTCCTGTTTACGTTAGGTAAGGATAGGTTAGGCTGGGTTAGGTGTATTAGACACTGCCCTCTAATACACCTTAGATTAGGTGTATTAGAGGGCAGTGTCATGCCGTAATTGGGTACACACTCACAAGTACTCAAGGCCCTCCTATACACAGAGTACCCGAGACTTAGACCACATTAGATATCTTCCACTACTAATGAGTAGTTTTATATATAATGGTTACTGTTTCTCTATTTAATAATTATGATTTTTTGCAATTACAGTTATTAGAGGCCCAGAGTTGCATTATTATTCATTTTAAATTCTGACATACGGCGCAAGGTAAAGGTACACTTACCCTTGTATCCTGGGCAGGTGTAGGCACACTTGGGAAGCTGGGGAGTAGTTCAGGTGAGATAATTGGCATCAGCGCCAATTGATACGCTCTGAGCAGGCTTGAAGTCACTTTGGTAACCTTGAGGCGCCTTGGGGCACCTCAGTGCTTTAACTGCAGCCTCCAGACTGAACCCAAAGCTTTAAGATATATTGGGCGGTGACTCATTATAAAAAAAAACTATTTTGAGTTCACAAAGATGAAACCGTGCTAGTTCACTCGGATAAGATGAAAGCTTCAGTTCATTCAAGATGAAAGCTTCAGTTCATTCAAAATGAAAGCTTCAGTTCATTCAAGGTGAAAGCTTCAGTTCATTCAAGGTGAAAGCTTCAGTTCATTCAATAGAAGATGAAAGCTTCAGTCCACTCAATAGATGAAACCTTCAGAGTTCACTCAAGACTGAGTGCGTCTGACGCCACGTGAGTCTTCAACACACTCAAGTGTCTTCCAAACTGCTGAAAAAGTGTTGGTTTTAACACAATTTATAGCTTAGTCAGTTCATATATTATGAACACTTTGTCTTACTGCATATTCACTCGTGTTTACGTCCACTGCGAGTGAAAAAAAAAACGATAACATTTCAGACAATTTCAGTCGAGCTCAATCACTAAACACTCAATGTTTTCCCTATTTTCCTGATAGTTTTTTTGATACACAAAAGTGACTATTATATTGTACATTTTCTACACGCTGTTTTTTTTTAATGTTATTAGTCTCTATTAGATTTAATAGTGTATATTAAAGGCCTTGAGTGGGATAACGACTGACACGCTTGTCCGGTTATAGCGAGTGAGGAGGGGGGCGTGTGTGTGTGGGGAGTGGGGGAGCGCCGGTGGGGTGCGTGCTTCTCCTCCAACAACGCAGTAGCGACTGACTCTGCCACGCCGTGCGTGGGCCCCTCTATGGTTCATCCCAGGCATTTGTTATCATCATTCGGGACCTTGTGATGCACTTGTTATCATCATTCAAGACCTTGTGAGGCCTTTGATATCATCATCCGGGACTTTGTGATGCACTTGATATCATCATTCTGGACCTTGTGATGCACTTCATATTATCATCCGGGACCTTGTGATGCACTTGATATCATCATTCTGGACCTTGTGATGCACTTGATATCATCATCCGGGGACCTTGTGATGCACTTGATATTATCATCCGGGACCTTGTAATGCACGTGATATCATCCGAGACCTTGTGAGGCATTTGATATCATCATCCGGGACCTTGTGATGCACATGATATCATCATTCGGGACCTTCTAAAGGACTGACGACCTTTTGTCAGGGCGTCAATCTTTAACTGTTCGCCTGTGTTCACTCAGCGGTAATTGGGTAGCTGGTAGTTAATTAACCGACTGGCGCGTCGCGTTCCGGGGAAGACTGGTGGGTAAGGCTTACCAGGCGCAGTGGGAAGGAAAGCTCTCAGCCTGCTAACAGGAGCCAGAAGCCAGTTCCAGCACCATTCTCAAGTCATTCTCATCGACTTGAGAATGGTCCAGGACGGACCGAAACGTCGTCGTCGTCCCTTCACCTTCTAGTGTGTGGTCTGATCAACATACTTTAGTCATGTTATTGTGATTCATCGCCTGAACCAGAAGCCAGATTGACGAAGCAGTTACGCAAACACTTACGAACCTGTACATCTTTTCTCAATCTTTAGCGGCTTTGATTACAATTATTAAACAGTTAATGAGCTCCGAAGCACCAGGAGGCTGTTTATAACAATAACAACAATTAACTGGGACGTTTTCATGCTTGTAAATTGTTTAATAAATGTAACCAAAGCCGTCAAAGATTGAGGAAAGATGTACACGTTCGTAAGTACTTGCGTAACTGTTTCGTGAATCCGGTCCCAGAAGCGGGCTGTCCCTGCACCCACCTGTGTAACATAATAAAATATCATATGGGATCAAAACTAGCCTCGCCCCGGGCCGGGCTTGGGGAGTAAAAGAACTCCCAGAACCCTAGCCAGATACAAAATCTAATCTAACTAAATCTATCCTAGCCTATCCTAACCTAATGTGAACTACCCTAAACTAATATAACCTAACCTAACCGAACAAAAGAGTCCGTATACACCAGCAAGACCCTGTGGATGCTATAAAAGTCCCTCTAACACACACTATCCAAATATCAGCTTACTTCCCTTCCGCCTCCCGCTCTCTCAAACACAAAAGCTTCTACAAAACAATTTACATAAAAGTCATATACTGAATGGGCTGCAATAACAAATGACGTAATTTTGGGATAATTAATTATTTTGTTTTCGTTGCATAAACATAAAAGTGTAGCTTCTATAATATTGTATAACTCCTATATAATCCACACGGTGATTATATACGAGTAACTACGGGCTCACCATAGCCCGTGCTACTTGGAACTTTTTGTTTCAAGTAGCAAATCTTAAACAACATATAAACGAGATTATATACAACACTCTGAGAACAGCGACTCCTGAATACAGGGAAATCACAGCCCCAGGGTACATGGTGGGTGACTTGCGACGTCGATCGTGCCGTTTGGGCTGGACGGTCTTACTTCATGCAGGTTTGCGTTCAATCCCCAACCGTCCAAGTGACTGGGCATCATTCCTTTCCCCCACCCATCCCCATCCCATCCCAAATCCTTATCCTGACCTCTTCCCAGTGCTATATAGTCGTAATGACTCTGCGCTCTTCCCCCCTGGTAATTCCCTTCTCTCCACCCCCAGTCCAGCTGCACGATTTTCAAATCGATATATCTAACATAGATTTATTGTTAGTTGCTTTTTCAACTCTTAAAATATTGTGTCGTTAAACCATAAATTTTGACATACAATTTTTAAGGGGCTCCAAACTAATGTTCTATTTGGCTCAAAATAAAATCCCTGGTGTTTTGACAGTTTTTTGTTTTTTTGTTGTCTCGCGCCAGCGCCCTCTACTATAACACCTGTCGCTCGAGGCAGCTGCCTCTCACCGGCCGAGGTAATACTTGACCGTCGGCCTCTGCACGCACCATCCCTCAGGCATCGTGGGAAACGTCTCCACCTTGTCGATAGACTGATGAATTTTTATTCATAAATGGATGGTCCGGTGAAGTCGTGTACAGGTATTTTGCACTCAGCTCGTTGTGTGTGGTGAGGTTAGGCTGCGTAAGGTACAGTTAGGATTTGTTTGGCAACGTTAGATTAGGCTTCGTTAGTTTGTTGTTGACTTAAGGGACCACGACTGTGCAAATCCCGGCTGTGTTACCGTGTAAATGGAAAATGAAAAACTTTGCGACTATTCGTCACCGGTCAGTGTAAAACTACTGTGACACACGGTGTATCACAGTAGTTAGACAGATATTTAGCGACTTGTGTCACTCCGTGAGAAATGAGGGTCAGACCCCACTCAGCACGGAGAACCAGCCTGAAGGCCTTATCGACACGGAGTGACCGCAGACGATAAAGCATATCAGTGTGTCATGAACACTGGGGAGTTGAACAAAGTCGCGCCCTAACGACAGAATGGCAATGGCCCTTCCTAAACTCAAGCCCAGTAGGGGAAAAACGCAGAAACCTCTTCCAGCGGAGCAAGAACCACACGCCTCACCAAGCACTCTCGGCCAGCCGGCGCCGGATAGTCTTCCCGCCCAAAAATCAAACCGAAACCGGGAAAATATCTCACAACTTTCCTGTGTGAAAATATCCCACAAAAATTTTAAATGTTTAGTCTATGAATTGCATGTAACAAATAACATCAAATGAGATATATTAACATACAAGAACATAGCTTGGGAAGCGAAAATTTATTTATAGGTAATATGTAGCATATATAAATTAAATCATACGAACGAACATATTTAACAGAAACTTGTCTGACATTTGCCTGGGAATTTGGACTGGCAACAAACCGGCCAACTTGCTTGACAGTACCATGGGAATCTTGCCTGGCAGTGCCGTGACAATCTGGCCTTGTAATGTCATAGTAATATTACCCGGCACTACCATAATAATTTGACCCATCTTTAATATGGGAATCTTGCATGTCAGTACTCCCCGAGCTACTACATGAATCATATCTACCAATATCATGGTAATTGTTCCCACCACTGGCAACTAAATCGTGTCTACCTCTCTCATGGTAGCACTGTGAATAATATTGTGCCAGAGTCTCTTGTACCAGTGCATGATGTCCGGGTGTTCTGGAATATTTTGTACAAAATTGTTATATTATTTCTCGTTTTATGTATGCTTCTTCCCGGCTTGGCGCCTTCTTTGATTATTATTTCCTCTCGTTTTATGCAAGTTTAGTTATTTTCCATTTTTGTAAATTTTAACTGTTTAATAATCGTAAACAAAGCCACCAAAGACCGAGAAAAGATGGACAGGTTCCTAAGTGCTTGCGTAACTGCTTCGTGAATCATGCCTCTGTTGTGAATGCCTCTGTTGCCAAGCTAGGCAACTCAACTCCTCCAGAGGTCAGACTTACCACCTGGACATCAGCAGAAGTGCGGCCGAAGGGGCCCAAACGCCTCTAGCACAACACGACCACACCCATCTTCTAGTATGAGAAGGGGCTACGCAAGTCCCACATTGTTTAGTGAATCGTAAAAGACTTTAGACCTGACCTGTATTGCACAATCAACTATGTAACCATTTAATTGAATCTAGTTTATTGGAAGACATCCTAACCATTTATCTATGCTTGTCCATATTAAAGAATGATGAAATTTGTTTGTTTAGGCGCATCTCTTATGAATCCACCCCAACTGCCTTGTGTGGTTGAATTTTAAATTCGTAAAATGAAACATGAGTAATATCGGATACAGTAGACTGTAACCTCATGAAATACATACCCTGGAAACACAAAACCAAATTGTCTCTATTTCAGCTTGTTACAACTTGTAATAAAGTTGTTACATCTTGGCTTAACGTGTTTATGACGTATTAGAACGTTGTTACAACCTGCTATATTGGTTCTTATAAATGATTAGGTGTTAAAACTTGTTCGAACGTTGTACCAACGTCGTAGTTTCGGTGTGTGTTTGGCGGGTATGTGGTTAATCAACAATTTAGACCAATTGTCTTATGTATGATCCTTTGTCCTGTGTGGTAGTGAATACGAGCAGCGCCTCACTGTAATAAAACCTAATTATTATTACAGGTTCTTAATTACAGGTTTTAAACCTAATTATTACAGGTTTTAAACCTAATTATTAATTTATTATTACTGAGTAATCTAATTGAATGACTCAGATTACGCAAAAATGTATATTATATAATTGTATAATTGAGTAAACCCAGCAACAGTCAACCCGGTTTGAGTAAACCAACGAACACACACAAAGACTAAGCCTTCACACCTCCAGGACAAACATGTTCCTCTCGACAAAGGCCTCACATAAAAAGAAAATTTTAAGTCAACATCTTTAGTGACAAAATTGAAGTATATTTGAAACAAACTTAATTTATGAGGATAACGTGTGATTGGACGGAGGAAGTATTAAGTTCACTCGTGCGAGTCAAGTCTAATTAACAGGTTCTCTGGCTGTATATCTCTGAAGTGTCCACTAAAATATCTTATTGGATCTGATAATAAATCCTGAATAATTAAAACTAATAAACACATTGATGTATAATACTCACATAGTGTCGACTAAAATATCTTATTAGCTCTATTAATAAATCCTGAATAATTAAAACTAATGAACACATTGATGTATAATACTCACATTGAAATATAATAATGTATACAGTGATGTATAACAATAATATTGATAGAGCATGAATTTTGCTCTCATACACTAATATTGCCGGAAGAAAGGCGTATATGTTCAAGAAACAATTAGACAAGTTCCTACAGGAAGTACCGGACCTT